CCGCCCCCCGCCACCTGTACCTGCCTCCTCCCGACGCTCCAAAGCGATTGGGTGCCCCGCGCAATCCGTGCGGCCCAATCCCGTGGCCACTAGCCATTGTGCGGGCTGGGCTTTCGAAAAGCGGCGGGGCTCCGGAATGCGAGATCTATCTAGTCACAAGAAATGCCCAGAAGAGAAAAAGCCCAGGAGGCCCTTTTTTTCCAAAAATAAAATTGCAAAAGCAAAAGACAAAGAGAGACTCTTAAAAGCAGCAAGAGAAAGAAACTCAGTTACCTACAAGGGAATACCCATACGACTGTCAGCTGATTTCTCAACAGAAACTTTGCAAGCCAGAAGGGAGTGGCAAGAAATATTCAAAGTGATGAATGCCAAGAACCTACAACCAAGATTACTTTTTCCAGCAAAGCTATCATTCAGAATTGAAGGTCAGATAAAGAGCTTCAGAGATAAGGAAAAGCTAAAGGAGTTCATCACCACCAAACCAGTATTATATGAAATGCTGAAAGGTATCCTTTAAGAAGAGGAAGAAGAAGAAAAAGATTGAAAAGTGATCCCTAGGAGAAAATGTTGCCCTTGTCCTCCGTTCATCCAGATGGATAGATTGGAAGCCCCTGGAAGTCACCGTAAGCCTGCAGCAGCAGCCCCTCACTAAAAAAAGGGTAACTCCTTCAACTAAAAAGCCTCCAAACTTGAAGGCAGATCCTCTTTGCTAAGGAAAAATTACTTGGCTGTACATGACCAATATGATCCCTCTACCCAGTATAAACATTACTCAGCAATCCCCTAAAAAAAAAAAAAAAAAAAAAGTAGACTAGAGGTTGTCAGGGACGGGGCCATAGATAGGGTGGGGGTCGCGGTGGGAGGGTGCTAGCTGACCGCTAATTGGGGGTGGGGTTGGTTGCACAGAAAGGCATTAAATACACTTTTAAATGGTGGATTTTATTGTATGTGAATTATATCCCCCTCCCACCACCAAAAAAAAAAGTTTAAAAGGAAGGGGAGAAAACAAGAATGGATACCAAAACGCAGTTACCCAGAGGGCAGTGTATCTTAAATGTTTACATGCAAGGCATTCAGTTTCAACACACACAGCGCACAATCTAAATTTGGGTACAAATTCAAATTTTAAAGTTTGAGGCTTTTCATGAATGTAGAGTTCAATGGGCCTACTGCCTTCTCCTCTTCAGAGTTTGGGATGCAGTGAATAGTGCCTCCCACAGCACTGTCCCAGAAGCAGGGGTCATTGGGGACCCAGGCCGCAGATATAATCTCTGATCTCATGGAGCTCAGTTTCCCCTTGATTCTTCTGCCGTTATTTCTTCCTTTGCTGTAACTTCCAACCCTATTCTCTCTCTCTCTCTCTCTCTCCTCTTTGTTAGCCCTATATTACTTACTTTTTAAATTTTTAACTTTTAATTTTGAAATAAGTAATTATAGACAGAAAAAACGTTGCAAAAATAGTACAGAGTTCCCATAGTACAGAGTTCCCATCTTACATAACCATTGTGGGGGCAGGGTGCCATTTTCTACCCTGGTCTAATAGTCAAATAGACATGAGACAGATTGGCAAGAGAAAACAACCAAATTTGTTACGTACATATGTGTGGGTACCCCTAATGAGAGAGTCAGAGACCCCATATACAGGAGAAGTGCAGAGATAGAAAGGGGCATTGAGGTATGTAAGACATCCTGGGCTAGAGATGAGGCAATGCACCTTGGGGCTTTAGAAGGACATTACAGGGAGAACAGATATTCAGTAACAAGTGGTTTGTCCTGCCAAAGAGGTAGGTCAAAAAAGGTTAGCTCTGATAATCTCTTATTGTAGGCAAGGCCCTCAATTCAAGTTCTAGATAGTCAAGGGAGAAGCAAAAGTTGTCTTTAGCTCAAAACAATCCCCATACCACAGGGGCACATCTTGGGGTAACTCTTTCTGCACCCCCCACAGTACAGAGTTCCCATATACTCTTCACTCAAGCTTTCCCAATACTGATTACAAAACCATAGTACAATTATCAAACGAGGAAATAAACACTGATGTAATACTATTATCTAAACTATGCACCTTATTCAAAGTATTGCCAATTGTTCCAGTAACATCCTTTTGCCAATCTGGCATCCACACGGAATCACTTTTCAGTGCATTGAATATTGCCTCAGTCTCCAATCTAGGCACTTACTGGTTATTTTGTAGACTGTTCCTCCATTTGCCAATCCCATTGTTATGGGCTGAATTGTGTGTATCTTCCCCCCCTAACCTCCCCCCCCCCAAAATCCATATGTTGAAGTGTTAGCCCCCAGGTGACTATTTGGTGATGGGGCCTGTTAGGAGGTGATTGAGTTAAAAATGAGACCCTTCGGCTGGGCCCTAATCCACCCTGACTGATCTCCTTATAAAAGGAAATTTGGACACACAGACACACCCGGGCAGAGCACACACAGAGGAAAGATCATGTGAGGACACACGTGAGAAGAAGGAAGTCTGCAAGCCAGGGAGAAAGGCCTCAGAAGAAACCAACCCAGCTGAGACCTGGACATTGGACTTCTAGCCTCCAGAACGGTGAGAAAATAACTTGTGTTTTTTAACCGACCTACTCTGTGGTGTCTTGCTCTGGCAGCCCAGCTGCCTAACACACCCATTCTCTTCACATCCTGGGAATCTGCCAATTTCTGTGTTCTTTGACTCTTTCTATCTATTTCTATTCCTCCTCTCTCATTGTCCTTGTTACTACTAGCTCCAAGCAAATATTTCTGTCAGAGTTTTCCCAGCAAGGCAGGCTCTATCTAGCTCACCAAAGCATCTTTGTTTATAGCTTATATTTTCCCTATTTTATTTTTCTATTGCTGTTATACCACAAATTTAGTGGCATAAAATAATATGAATTTGTTGTCTTAGAGTTTTAGAGGACATAACTCTAAAATGGGCCTACATGCCTGGTCAGCGTGGCTCAATGGTTGAGTGTCAACCTATAAACCAGGAGGTCATGGTTCAATACCTGGTCAGGGCACATGTCTGGGTTGCAGGCTCGAGCCAAAATAGGGGGCCTGTAGGAGGCGGCCTATGGATGATTCTCTCTCATCATTGATGTTTCTCTCTCCCTCTCCCTTCCTTTCTGAAATCAATAAAAGTATTTTTTAAAAATAAAAATAAAACGGAATGGGTCCACAGAGGCCCTGGTGGGTATGGCTCAGTTGGTTGGGCATTGTCCCATTCACTGAAAGGTCAAAAGGTCAATGGTTTGATTTCCAGTCAGGGCACATGCATGGGTTGTGGGTATGCAGGAGTCAGCCAATCAATGGTATGTTCTCACATCAGTGTTTCTCTCTTCTCCTGTCCTCTCTCTCTCTCTCTCAAAACCAATTAACTGGTCTTTTAAAATAAAATAAAAATAAATGAGAAGGGTCCCCAGGGCTTCACGGCCTCTGGAGGCCCTGGAGGGGAATTCATTCCTTGCCTTTCCAGCTTTTAGAGCAGTGGTTCTCAACCTTCCTAATGCCGCGACCCTTTAATACAGTTCCTCATGTTGTGGTGACCCCCAATTTCATTGTTACAAATTGAACATAATTAAAACATACTGGTTAATCACAAAAACAATATGTAATTATATATGTGTTTTCCGATGATCTTAGGCGACTCCTATGAAAGGGTCGTTCGACCCCCAAAGGGGTCTGACCCACAGGTTGAGAACCGCTGTTTTAGAGGCTCCCTGCATTCCATGAAGGCCCATGTCAGCTGGAAAATAATATTGACTATTTCTTTGCCAAAAGGATTTATGTGGGGGGGAAAGGAAAAGGTTGCAGCCCAATGCTTACAGACATGGCAAGCCACCTGCACACACAGCAAGGTGTACCAAGATGGAGAAATACATAGAGAAGCAAAAAGGAAGTTAGGAGGAGAGACAGTTACAACCATAGAGCTGTACTGTAAGCAGAGTTCTTCTGCAGGATGACAGAGAGTGTAAGAACTCCTTCCCAAAGCCCAGCTCCTCCCATAGACCAACGTTAGCTTAAATTCTCAGTCATAATTTTTATGACCCCTTTCTCCGTCTTCAAAGTCAGCGCCATAGCACCTTCCCAGCTAGCCAGACTCCTAGCCTGCCTAGCATCTTTATTACTTTTGTCCCCCCTGTATTGCTTTCCCATTGCTGCTGTAACAAGTTACCACAAACTTAATGGCTTAAAACTAACTGTAGCCAATGTACATTCTTTCAAAACAACTTACACCCTTCTTCCCCCAACTTCACATCTAAAAGAACCTGTCCACTCCAAGGACAGCGGACCTGTTTGTCTCTTCCCTCTGGCCCTCTGCTTTGGTGATTCCGATTGCATGTCCCAGGACCTGGTCCTTTACTGGCTAGCATTTGGCAAAATAACCCCTTCCTTTCAGAAAAGCTTCCAGCCATGGACGGTGTTTACTTAACACTGCATACTTGTCTCTTCTTACAAGCAATACAAAAAATAAAACAATCTATTACTCGAGCAAACGCTAAAGTACCCACATGGCCTTCAAACAAGAGATGCTCTAAGACAGATTAATTCATTACACTGAGGCTTCATTATCTACAAGCTGTGGTTCAGAGCCCTCCGGCAATCATGAGGCAACACATGAGTGTGATATTAATATTCCTGAACAGTGGGGGATAAGTGGAGCACAGAGGGCGGTGTTAAAATGTAAGGAGGAGTTTTGTTGGGAACTGGTTTAGCAGGGAATAAGTATTGATGTGGGCCCTGAGGTTCAATTTACAATGAAGGGTCACATTAAAAATGCATTAAAATGGCTTATTGTAACCATTCAATGCTTATTGTAACCGTTTACTATTTCATTTTATTTAAACGAATCAGAGCTTAAAGAGAACCACTAAGTGGGCCGCAGTGTCAAAATTCTTCTAACTTCTCTTGCTAATGCTGAGCTGTCTACTGACAAATAAATAATAGGCTACTATGCTTAAAAGCTCCAAGACCAACAGGTTTGTTTTCCAATGAATGGATGAAGCAATCAGCTAAGGCCACCACCTCCAAAAAGGTCATTGAAATTCCTCCAACCTTTTCTGTATCAGCTCTGAGTCGTGGGTTGAATCTGTGGGTGTGGGCACAGTGCAGAAATTTGAAGCAACTGTCTTCCTCCTGGTCACATGAAATGAGGCTTCAGGGAGGCTGGTAGGGAACCCTGATCCTCCCTCTTTCATGATTTTCTTATCCACCCACCCCTTCATTCCAGAGCCCTTCATTCTTAATTTCTCCAGCAGCCATCTGATGAAAGGCAATACTTTGACTTGGAGCTGGGTGCGCCCAGTAAGCACTGTGGCTACTATAAAGCAATAAAAATAGTATGCTTTCCGCAAAATTTCTTTAAAATTATTTTTATTTGGATGGGTGTAGGTGAATGGGCTTAAAATGATGGGAATAGGGGTTGGAGGCACCATCCCTGCTTACTCTCTCTGAATGGAGAGAGAAAAGGTGTTTCAACTGGGGGAGAAGGTCAGAAGGGGAGGTTAGAAGGAAGAGGATGTAAGTCTGCTTCCCACCAGAGCCTTAATTTCTTTTGTTAGCAGAAATGCTATTGAGCAGTTCTGTCATGGAATCATGGCCTGTCACTCTGATGTGGAAAAACCATGCCTCAGAAGTCTGTCTTAATGACCTAGGGCCTAGGCAACTCTGAAACCCTTGACAATGACATGGCTTATGTGAAAGGTGCTGGGATCAATAGGATCCTTTTCGGACCACTTTAATGTTGGCTGGAGCTGAAACAAAGTACTGAGGCTAGCATTTTATCCGTTCTTAGCTCTTGCTTAGAAGTTTGGCAGACTTCCCCATCCTTCCACCTTGCCTCCAACAGCTATTAAAACATGGCAACAGATTGCTTAACAGGATGGTAGACATGATAGACCTGCAACAAGGTATTTTGAAATTGTGACAGCAGGAAGAAATATTTGAAATAGAGTGTTTCTCTGGCCCAGGAACTGTTTCCACCAGCTTTAAGTAACTATTGTGCCCACAATTGGTGTGGGATAATAGAGCAGTCAGTTAAATTTATTTCATTGATTTTTCTTTTGTTTTTTTTCCATTGTTAAGCGTTAGGGGAAAAAATACCTTTGGAAATTCTCTTAAAAAACATAAAGAATAAAAAAAAAAACAAAGAATAGATAAAATTAAAAAATCTGAAATTATGAAAAAACCCAACATTAGTGGTAGCTTTAAAAATAGTGCATATTCAAATATGCAAATAAATTAAGAATTTCTACATAAAAAGTGAGTTAATCAGAGTTTTCTTCTCCAATTATGCCTTTTTGAACCTCTGAAATTTCACTTACTATAGAAAATGTGTGACTCTACTAATATGTGGAAGAAATCTCTTACCATTTGCAACGGCATGGATGGAAGAAAATGTGTGACTCTACTAATATGTGGAAGAAATAACTAATTAGTGAAATAATGGTTTAATAATGATTTTAGTACTCTTATCAGTCTGACACAATCGGAGGAGAGAGAAATCACATTGTAATTGGGACAGAAAAAGTTTTCAAACAGTCAGTTCTTATTACTGTAAGTAGTTATGTTCTATAAACAAGGAATTAACAAATATTGAACCATCATTCTTAGGGGAAATTCAGGATTAGGTTCCTATGAGCCTCTGGTCACATTTTATTTTCATCAACTGATCAATACATAAGCTTGCTTTGTGTTTCTGTTGAAGGATAACTTATTTAATATATATTGTTGATTCATCAACATTGCACTCTCAGCCAACATTATGTTTCATGCCTGAACAAAGCTTATCTAACAGGTACTTTCTTCATAAGGCACCTCACTGCCTTCTCTTTTTTTAATTTTTTTTTATTAAGGTATTACATATGTGTCCATATCGCCCCATTGCCCCCCCCCCACTCATGCCTTCACGCCCCTGTTGCCTGTGTCCATTGGTTAGGCTTATATGCATGCATACAAAATCCTAGAAGTGGGATCACTGGGTCAAATGGGAGTTCCATTTTTAACTTTTTGAGGAAACTCATACTGTTCTCCACAGTGGCTGCACCAGTCTGCATTCCACCAGCAGTGCACGAGGGTTCCTTTTTCTCCGCATCCTCGCCTGCGCTTGTCGTTTGTTGATTTGTTGATGATAGCCAGTCTGACAGGTGTGAGATGGTACCTCACTGCCTTTTTTCACCAAGGAACACTAGCCAGCACTTCAGAACGATGTTTAAGGGCTATTTTAAGCAGTGAAATCACTAATAAAA